GCTGGCCTGCTTGCCCCCAACTGGCCCTCCCTGCCAGCCTGCTCACCCCTAACTGCCTCTGCCTTGGCCCCACCACCATGGCTTTGTCCGGAAGGTCTCCTGGTCTAATTAGCATATTACCCTTTTATTAGTATAGATATTAGTCTCAGATTTCTTAATAATTTTAAATATATATTTTTTGTCTTAAGTGGTTACTTTTTTTTAAAAGAAACATTTAATGTGTATATATTTTAGGTGTTTTAAGTGCGTTTTTACAGACTAACTGGAAGGTTAGGTTAAGTCACAGTAGATACATTTTTCACACTTTCTGTCAGCACTGTTTATTTAGGAATGTAAGATATATCTAAGTGAAATAATAATGTACATTTTAAAGTAGTGTAATTGTTTAAGTTTGGAATTTTAATAATAAGTTTAATGAACTAGACTGCTTCATGACATCTCACTTGTTCACTTGCCACTTTGCTTGAGTCAGTTCTGTAATATTCAAGTAAAAATTGAAGTAATTTTATTGCCAGTAAATATGTGAAATACTATAACTTAAAATACTATAACTATAAAGTTATATTAAAATATTTTTCTAAATGTCTTGCTTATTTTGAGTTTAAGAAAGTAGACTTTATATTGAAGATCACAGATACACAAATAGAGGGAGTTCTAAGATGCTCCTCATATTCCATTGCTGGTTTCAATGAACACATTCTTCAATGAGTTCTAACATGTTCTGTTACATTATGGAAAGAATTGACATTGAGAGTCAAGAGCTGCAAGTTCTACACTGGAAAGTTTTTTACCTTAGGCAAATTTGTTAAATGTTTCCCCATTTATGTATAAATAATACTTAATAGTTTCAGGTATAACTTGCAGTTATTGAGAATTAGTCAAGGTTGAGAACCTTATATGAAATATGCTACAATAAGTAATAATTTTAAAAATTCATGTAGTGTTTCTGATCTTCTCTCTCTTTCTCTCTCTCTCTCTCTCTCTATATATATATATAAAAGGCTAATATTCATAGTGTCCCCTCCGGAGTTCAATCACTCGCTATGATGTGCGCTGACCACCAGGGGGCGGTGCGTAACGAAGGCCCTGGCTGGCAGCCAGAAGGCCTCGATTGGCCCTGATCGCTGGCTAGGCCTAGGGACCCTACCCCGTGCATGAATTCCGTGCACCGGGCCTCTAGTTAAAATATAAAGCTGAAAGTCTGTTAATGTTTAACCTTACATCATACCTTTTGTAAAGCCAGAGTATAAGAATATTTTAAGTGATACTATTTTCTTTCTGCATTTTTAATCTCTTGCTACATTTTTTTCACATTTATGAGAATAGTAACTGAAAGTAGTAAAAGATTGAAAAAGTCTTTGAGGATTTGCTTCTTCAGCAATTGAGTTTCTGTAAGCTATCTATGTTAGGTGCCTTTTTAAAAATTCTAGTCCCTCTCATACTGGTACTTTTCTGTGAGTTTTTATTGTTGTTGTTTGTTTGTTTTTAATCCTCACCTGAGGATATTTTTTCCATTGATTTTTCAGAGTGGAAGGGAGGGAGGAGGGGGGGAAAGAGAGAGAAACATTGATGTGAGAGAGACACATTGATTGGTTACCTCCTGCACACACCCCAGCAGGGCTGGGGATCCAACCAGAACTTGGAGTGGAGGTACATCCCCTTGACTGGGAATGGAACCCACAACCCTTCCAACCACAGGCCAATGCTCTAACCACTGAGCTACCAGCCAGGGTTCATTCATACTGGTACTTTTGTAAAAGACAATAAAAATGGATCACTAGAAAAATAAGAAAAAAAGGTATAAATAAAAATTTATTTTTTGTTGTTAAATTCAATAGACAGAATTACTCTGTCAAATTGCTATAAACGTTCTTTTTTTCCCTTTTGTTGAGATATAATTGACTACAACATTGTATAGTTTAAGTTGTACAATGTAATGATTTGATATATGTATATATTGTGAAATGATTACCACAATTAGGTTAGTTAACACATCTATCACCACATAAAGTTACAGTTTTGCTATGAAGTTTCTTAAATGCTTACTAGTACTTTGATTTTCCATACTTAACTCATCACAGACCATTACAAGCAATTCTGACATAAGTGTATGGACTACACTTTGAGTAGCTTTGCTCTAAAGTCTAAACCACAGTCTATTTTGGAAAGTAGATGTGAAGTAGTTTTGAAATCAGAGGATCTGAGTAATTGCAGAGAAGTTGTAATAATAATGAACATGAGAATGATATTGTATTGCCTAAATAATCATCCATGCAGATATTTTTTTCCAAAGAGACAACATGTAATTTGCATTGCACAGTTTATCCCATAATCAGTACTTTTTCAAGTTAGGATTTTATTATTTTTCTTAAAATTGATATATGTTTTGTTTTACTTCTGTGACCCAGCAATTACTTTTGAATACTACTATGTACTTGGCACTGTGCTAGATACTGCTAAGGATATAAAGGTGAATGATATTTAATTC